TTTTTTCAAAAAATCGACCCCAACCCTTAAAAAAATTTGGGTCAAAAATCAAAATTTTACATGCGTGTTTTTTGAGCTCAATAGACTCCTTTCGACGTAAGGTCAGAAACGTGCATTTATAAAGTGTTTGGGTCAATAATAAGCAAGAAATCGTAGGTTGAAGAGCGTGAAGGCTCAAAAACGCTTAAAATGTGCCAAAAATCTTTATTATTTAGGAGCTGAAACTTCTAGCGTGTTTTTCAATGAGTTGGATGCATTCCTGGCGTCCGTGAGCTGAAACTGAGGTAAAATTTGAGACATTTTGAGAAAATTTTAATTTTTTCAAAAATCGACCTCCACCCTTAAAAAAATTTGGGTCAAAAATCAAAATTTTACATGCGTGTTTTTTGAGCTCAATCGACTCCTTTCGACGTAAGAAGGTCAGAAACGTGCATTTATAAAATGTTTGGGTCAATAATAAGCAAGAAATCGTAGGTTGAAGAGCGTGAAGGCTCAAAAATGCTTAAAATGTGCCAAAAATGTCTATTATTTAGGAGCTGAAACGTCTAGCGTGTTTTTCAATGAGTTCGATGCATTTCTGGCGTCCGTGAGCTGAAACTGACGTAAAATTTGGGACATTTTGAGAAAATTTAATTTTTTTCTAAAAATCGACCTCCACCCTTAAAAAAAATTGGGTCAAAAATTAAAATTTTGCATGCGTGTTTTTTGAGCTCAAGCGGCTCCTTTCGACGTAAGAAGGTCAGAAACGTCCATTTATAAAGTGTTTGGGTCAATAATAAGCAAGAAATCGTCGGTTGAAGAACGTGAAAGCTCAAAAACGCTTAAAATGTGCCAAAAATGTCTATTATTTAGGAGCTGAAACTTCTAGCGTGTTTTTCAATGAGTTCGATGCATTTCTGGCGTCCGTGAGCTGAAACTGACGTAAAATTTGAGACATTTTAAGAAAATTTTATTTTTTTCAAAAAATCGACCCCAACCCTTAAAAAAATTAGGGTCAAAAATCAAAATTTTGCATGCGTGTTTTTTGAGCTCAGTCGATTCCTTTCGACATAAGAAGGTCATAAATGTGCATTTATAATGTGTTTGGGTCAATAATAAGGAAGAACGCCGCCGCCGGTGTGCACGTACCCTTAATTCTTGACCAGGCGAACCAACTCAAAAAAATCATGCAATTTCATGTTCCGAACAGTTTTTGAATGATTTTCCTTGCAATAAAAATGGAAACTTTCAACAGTTTTTCTCGCAAAACGCAGATAAAAAGAGAGTACCAGCAGAAAATGATAAAAACATGTGCATGTGAAGGTGAATGTGGTGTGAAAGTTAAAATAGAAAAGCGTAAAATGCATTCAGTTGCATGAAGACGAATGCAATTAACATTGAAATCCGAACGTCCTCCATGAAAAGTCACCAATAAAATTCTTTGTGTACAAAATCAGTAGCAAAAGCGCAAAAATCTCGCTGTAATTGCATGAACCAAGAAAATACCTGATAAGTTTACAACTCAGCATCAGGAACAAATTTCAGACCATTAATGTCCCACATTTCAATATCGATACGTAATATTAATAATCCGTGATATAAGATGGCTGCTACAGGTGTTACAGTTGGTAATCTCGAGGAATGTAAAAAGTAAACCACTCGTTGCGTATTCCGCTTGTATGATAATGAGGTCTTGTAAACTATTACACACAGACAAGGATGTTTATTGCTTCGGTCGATAATCTTCAATGAACTTTCGCGAAACGACAATCATTGATAAAACATTTGTTGAAAACTGTCCTGCGGCTCTCTCCATTCTCTCGACTAAACTAGTCTTGGAAGATGTTTTTGGTTTCCATTGCTGATTGGGCAGAACTTGATCGACTGCAACGGAATACCGAAGCCCGAAGTTGTTCCATGGATAACTTTAAACCCGCGCTTGAATTCTACAAATGTGTAAAGCTGTTTATTTCATTTGCCAAGGTCTGCTGGGACATTCTTTGCCTGCAAATTATTTGTTAGTCACACAACAACGCAATTTATTCACTTCAGCTCTAAACTTACTGCTGGAAGTAACGGTGAAATCACATATTATTTTAAATTTACATAAGTATTTCATCAGCTTAAATATAGGTCTTTTATAGATAACGGACCTGTTCATGTGAATACCTACTGTAAAATAGATCTGAGCGGCTCATTAAGCTCAAGTAATTCTGAAGCCAAGGGACAATCGCCTCAGGAGCAAATGAATGGAGAAAAATTCTTATTTGAAGGTGAAACTTGCACAGCAAACAGCATCAATGATCATGATGAGTAACGGATTATTCCGGTCGTTCGTAATTTATAAAGTGCGTTAGAACAGAATATTGAATATAATTGAAGGTTGAAGAAGAGCGCACTTTAAGGGCTTAAGGAAAATGTGGAAGCAAAAGTTGGTTTCCACAGCATGTAAAAATTGAAGTAGCAGAAGCTCAAGTAGTTATTTTTGGTGCCTCAATCCACAAAATATCATTTTTGTAACGAATTTAGAATTTGAAACCAGACCAAATGCTTCAAATGTTCACAAAGTGTCGGCACGTTCTAGCGAGTACGTGGATGGATTTTTTAAACTTCCTCAAATTGATTTTGGCACAGAATTTAGTGCATTTAACTGTGCTTAAAAATATATATATAAAAGATAGGGATATAAGGACGAAAAGGCTCCAAACGAATTGAAGAAAAACATGCAATGTTCCGATCTACACAAACCCAACAGGATAAGAAGGTTTCCTGCTAGCGCGAACGCTGCGAGCGGAAAACGGTCAACGGCAAAGTAGTAGATAATGCAAGAATCTAAAACTTTGTATTTAACACTTTTTGACATAACCTCAAATTAACGGTAAAAATGGCAAAAACCCGATTTTTTCAGTATTTAATTTTTTTCTCGCGAGAAAAAAATTAAATACTGAAAAAATCGGGTTTTTGCCATTTTTACCGTTAATTTGAGGTTATGTCAAAAAGTGTTAAATACAAAAGTTTTAGATTTTTGCATTATCTGCTACTTTGCTATTAAACGATTTCCGCTCGCAGGTCATTTTTACTGGCTTATTTGGCTAAACTTGCAACTCTTCGCTTACTGTTAAATCAACAGTTTATTCATGAGTTCTTGCTTGGAAAGCTTGAGCGCAAACTGCCACACGTGAGCCAAAACAGGCATAATTACGAGCAATTTATCAAAACCTGCCCGATATTGGGTAGAAAGTATGAAGAAAATGAAACTTACGAAATTCGAATCAATCACCATTTGCGTTTTGCGCCATCTGTTCGCCGACTTGAACCCGCTGAAACTTGATTTATGAACTAACATAGGCCTTATATCATTGCCTATTAGACACATTCATTACGGAATGGGCGTATTTTGAACACAGAAATCGTTATCGATTTCGGTTTCGCTTCGATTGATCAGGTTGTTCAATTGTTGGTAAAAATGCCGTTTTTGTTCTTAATTGAAATTACCATCCTTCCACGTTTGGTTCCGACCACTTGCGGTTCTGAATAATTTATTGGGTTGAAATGCTCTTCCAAGACCAAGATTTTACGGGTGATTAGGTACTGATCAAACAGGCGCACTGCGCTGCTGGATGGTTAAGCTGCTTGATTTATGTCTTCATAAATTGTACAAAACCACAACAAACCGTCTAGCTTTAGATATTTATATGCTGTTTTCCCCAACGGATTTAAACCACCGGAAAATATCAATTTGATAAATCCTGTGGATTTTAACTGATTTTGTTTGGTTGCAGATTGTTGTTTGACGGAAAATGTGCAGTTAGTGAAAGTGCTTAAAACTAGCAGGCCACAATGGACTGGAATGCTGGAGATTTGATCTGGTTCGATCCAGGATTGGGACACTCCATTCCTGGAGAAGTTCTGGAGTGCCATAAAAGCGCCAATGTTATCACTGTACAAGCTGTAGTCAACGGCAAGGTAAAAATCGACTTTTGCCCAATCGGGAACGTTATTTACTAGAGCTAATAATAAATCAGAAGTGCGCAATTTTAATTAGTCACCTCGCTAAAGCGATATTAAAATATTGCATATTCCTAATAACTCAACAGGCTTAAGCAACAATTTGCCAAATCACTTCTTTAATGGAAGCCACGCTAAATATTCGCCGTTGCCTCGAAGGTTCAGTCGAAAAATTTGATTTTAGCATAAGGAAATTGGTGCAATGTCCTTTCACTTTTGCAATCTGAATACTCGTATGGGGGCAAATGGTGCGTTTTGATTCAAGGAACAATGGAAAGAACTCGCTGACATTGACTTGCCTCTAGTCGATGTAGGCTAAGATTCGAGGACTTTGCAGAAGCCGCTTTCAACTTGGTTGAACGCTCGCGAAATCCTAATTCTAGTCAAAGAATTCGCCATAAAACTCCATTAATTGCAGATTCAGACAATTTAGAACTAGAATAGTATACGTCTGCCCAGTCCAGTTCAAGTCTATAGAATACCCAAGTTTCCTTCAAGTATCTTTGCGGCGAGAGCCCGAAAATCTTCTAGTTTCAAGCAAGATTGTTACCCAAGAACCTTAAGCCAACTTGGGAAGTTTGAGCAAAACAGTACTAAACAACGCGGAGGTTGGATGGCCGGCAAATTTCTTGATCTAAATCCCCTTGACTTTTACCCAGGAGACGCCAAATACCCAGTGGCAAACCTTAAATGTTGAGCAACCAAGTGTCATTAAGCCTTAGATATGTTGAATAAAGTATTGCAGCATGTTTTATTCAGCATGGCCCAATCTATTACAATCAGTTGGCCATTGCAAATCCATGGCTCTTGTCGCGTTTTCCATACAATGCACATCAGCTGCGGCCATTTCTTCACGCAGTTTGTACTGTTTGGCAATCGAAGATTCATTGTTTATTGTTTGTTTATCTGCTTCATCTCGCGCCAAGACCAGAAGAGCTTTTAGTGGCCATAAAAGCACGTAAAATGCTCCTCTGGAACCACTTGCTACCGCCTTGAATAAATGCATAGACGAAGCTAATTAATTGAATAATGGGTGCTAATCTAGTCGGAAGCGAGTTAAAGGAAAACCTTCGAATCCAGTTACTTTGCTATGATATAACCGCACTACAATGGCTTGCTTTCATGCAAAATTGCCTGCCTGTTTCGGTTCTCGCCGATTTCAGTTCTGAGCAATTTTAAGCCAAAAGGACGGAAAAAATGACAAAGTCTGAACACAATGCGACATGCCTACTTTCACCATTCGGTACGCACTTATGCAACATTTTCACCGCTTTGGTTTATTGCTATCAAACTGAAACAGGTGCGATTTCCATAAGCAAATGCGTGATTTTTTCCTCTCAGCTAATTTATCCGGCTGACCTACACCGGTCTGCTTCGCTGGTTTGTAGGGAAAGTCTGCGAACCGACGATCGTTTGTCGAAGATGTACCGGTTCTACAAACAATTTAAATTGTAGATAAGTTCTATATTGTTGAGGCGGATTCATTTTTCTACAAACTTCTTTTTGGGTATTTCGCCTCAAAAATTTTTGTCTTTAAAAAATAAAAAAGAAATTGACCACAATTTCTAGGTTTTTTGGTCACTTTCAGGCCCAAACATTCGCCCTTCAAGACGGAGAGGGACAAGTGAGGAGGCGCCAAGATCTAGGAACCAAAGGTGTGGAGGATATGGTTCAATTGACTGACCTACATGAGGCTGCTTTACTATGGAATTTAAAGCTCAGGTAACAAAGGTGGATCCCAAACTTGGATATAAAGCTTTAAATGACCGATCTTCCCGCTGGTGGTTCGACCAATTGGCTTGCGAACGCATAAATATGCTCCACGCACTTAATTAGGCTGTAATTACGGTTTACAAATGAGAAAGTTGAAATAACGAAGAGTTCCTGCAGTTAGTCGCCTATTGATTTCGGGTTCGAAAACATGAAAAATCGCATTCCAATCGCCAACCAAACGCCGCGTTATAAGCAAAAGGGGGGAAAATTTAAGCGGGTGGTGAAGCGTAAGCCCAAAAAGTGCCTTGCAAGGTGGTAAGTTGGAAACAGTCTCAACTAATGCAGTGTGCCTACAGCCACTACTTGTAGCTCATAATGGATAGTTAAAGCTGTCTCCTTATGAAGCAATTAGGGGGAATTCGTAGAAAATATGCCTGCTGATTGTTGCGGAAGCCCAATCACCGCTACTTTCATGCAACAATGGTGCAAATAATATATTGGCGTGTTATGCAAGTTTCTTTCCCCGCATAAATCAGCCGCCTGATTGTAGTTTTCATTGAGCATATGCTAAACCGATTATTATGCCATCGATTGAATTAGTTAATCGTCAGGACGGCAGCTCAATGTGTCCCCTTTGCTCGTTCCCTCACCCCCTCAACGCCCTCCACGCTCTAAACCAGGAATCTCCCTTCAGGTACAACGCAAACCTGATCTACACATACGCAGGAAGCATTTTGGTGGCGGTGAATCCCTACCGGATGTTCGACGGATGTTATGGAATCGAATCGGCTCAAAAATACCGAGGAAAACTGATCGGCGACTTGCCGCCTCATCTCTTTGCCTCGGCGGCTGCCGCCTATTCGGCTCTTCCATCCCCCCAAGTAAAAACCCCCAAAGCCCGAACATGCAAGGGAAATCTGTATGCTGTTTTGCCGCAGGTGGTGGTAATCAGTGGAGAAAGTGGATCGGGAAAGACTGAGTCCACCAAACTGGTAATGCAGTATCTAGCGGCTGTTGCGCCTTCAGCCCCCAGGGGCCAAGCGCTAGTCACCGAGCAGATCCTCGAAGCGACGCCCCTGCTGGAAGCGTTCGGAAATGCTCGTACTGTTCGCAACGACAACAGTTCCCGCTTTGGGAAATATCTGGAAGTGTATTTTAAGCAGGGATCGATTATAGGTAGCAACCCGCCGATCTGTTATAAGTAGTGGTTTGTCAACCGGGGATGTTTTAAGGGGCGAAAGTCACCCAATATCTGCTGGAAAAGTCCCGGATTGTGACCCAAGCACCTGGAGAAAGGAACTACCACGTATTCTATGAGCTTCTAGGCGGACTGAGCAACGCCGACAAGCAGAAATACGGCCTGGTGGATGCTGAGAAGTACTTTTACTTGAATCAAGGTGAAGTCGTCTGTGGGCGCTCGAGGCGCTAAGCAATGAGCCCGTTTAATGTTTTAGGTGGCAGCGATTGTTCCCCGGGCCATTCCGGGTCTGGAGCCGATTGGAAGGCGCTGACTAGGGCCATGCAGGTTTTAGGAGTCAGCGAAAGTGAGCAGGAAGGCATTGTGAAGGTTCTGGCTTCGGTGCTTCATCTGGGGAATGTCTACTTTCATCGGCGGCAATTAAGGTAAGATGTTCAAATAAATGGATATGTGAAGCGATTAGAAGCCAACTAAATGCCTAGATGTAAAAATTTAAGACATTTTGAGAAAATTTTAATTTTTCCAGAAAATCGATGAAAAATTTCGGCCAAAAATGAAAACTTTACATGCTTGTTTTTTGAGCTCAATCGATTCCTTTCGACGTAAGACGGTCACAAATGTGCATTTATAAAGCGTTTGGGT